TCAACCAGACTTTGTAGGCGATTTCTGCAAAGCCATTGCAGCTCGCGTGCGTGGCATCGTGGCCTCAGTCAACTTTGACAGATTTCACAAAGTGCGTTTAATGTGGTCCTCCTCGACATCTGCTCTGCCACCCACCTAAGTTTGTGATGTTTATAATAACTCACTCCATTCTCATTCCCCATCTCTTTTAGAACTCGGCTTCTCTAATCAGACAGTCTGTTTTTGGTGTCGATGCGGAGGGCAAAATTAGAGACAGGCTTGTATTTCCTCAGAATAACCTAGTAGTGACAAGTGTGGACGTACAGGCTGTTGAACCGGTAGATCAGCGCACACGAGATGCCCTTCAGAAGTCTGTTCAGCTGGCGATCGAGATCACGAGCAATTCTCAAGAGGCCGCCGCCAGGTAAGCCCTTACTTTTCTACTTACTCTGCCTTTTGATAGTAAATATGCTAAGCATTTTGCTTCCTGTTCACGTTGCTCCGCTACAATTGATATTTTTTGATAGTCAGTTGTAGAGTTTTCTAATGTAGTTCGGAGACTACCGGTGTAAGCTGCAGTCATAGTAATGGGTTTTTCGGCTTTTATTCGCACCTTTTTACTGCTGACTGATTTCTTTGTTTGATGGGTATCCTCTACATAGCCGACCGATGAATACTGTCTTAAAAGCTGGGATTCAGGTCGCTTATCTCGCAGTGAAACGGACAAAAAGAATTGCTCACAGAACAGATACCCTTAAGCAGACTACTCGCATTCCCTCTGTACCAATGGGTCACGCCCTCAGTTTGTGTGTCTTGGCTAATCCTTGTTTGCACCATTGTGGCATTGTAGAGATACTACCTCTGATCTGTGGTAGGAATCGCAGTCATTGTTAAGGCAGAAAGCAATCTGCATCTCGAATTATTGTTGCGAAATGTACAAACGCAGACGCAAATGGTTCGCATTCCATGCTGACACGCTCCTGTATTCCATCTAAAATTTAAAGTGTTGTTAGTTAGACGTTCAAATGCGATTTACTTGAAGTTGACAGGTCTACATATACCTACCTGATATGTTGAAATGTAGGCATGTTGCCCAACTTATTTTGCCAAAACCAACTCCCGAAACTGCCTACACTATCTAGTACGTTAGAACGACCCTTTTAAGATTGACCTTCCTGGCGAACAGTTGACACGAATTCGGGACTTAAAGCCATATTTATTGGCACTCAGCTGTCCACTGTAGCATTAAGTTTAGGTCTTTTTTTCTTATTACTGCACCTTCTGACCTTTTTAATTACCTCTGACGTTTATGCTCGATCCCTCACGAACCAGGCTTTTTAGGCTAGGACCGCTTGCGCACTTAATTCCGAGGAAATTTAAAAGACAGAATTCTAAATAAAGCATTCCTCTCTAAAAAAATTTAAACTGGAATTTTTATAGCAAAAAGCGCATGGGAAACGTCGGAGAATCGGCTGATATGCTGAACCTCTCGCAGCTGTGTCATGCAGCGGTAGACTATCGGAGAAAAACGAGTCTGTGCTGTCAATATGGTGTAACGATCGGGAAACGTCCACGACGCGTGTCAATAGCTCTCGATCTAAACCGACGTGCAAACAAACTCTGTGCTGAAGGGTTAGAGCGTTAAATTTCTGATCGAAAATATTTCGAGTTCGAGCTTCTGCTGATGCATCACTTGGGGTTGGGTATGACTGGCTGACGACGGC